TGCAAGGTTCATAAGCGTAGGCGTTTTAAACCCAAAATGGGACATGTCAAAAATGTCACAAGTCAGGTTGATCGAGAGACAGTCGAGATCGATCAGGCGAGCGTCATGGATTCGAGAGAAAAGAATTAGAACAAGCCATTAGTGAATAATTACTCAATCCACATAATGAGACAACCTACCCCGATGGTGCTGAGTCTTGAATGAGGACCTGCCCCAACACCGCCTGTCTGACCTCCACTTCCTCCAGTGCCCGTACTCCCAGCGCCCACACTTCCTGGTGCACCGGCACTTCCAGCACCGAGGCTTCCGACTGCAACTGCGCCAGCACTGCCAATGCCTCCGGTTAATCCGCCACTTCCTATACTACTCTCGCTTCGCCCTGGTCGATGCCCGAATGAACTCTGATAGCGTTTGATCGGTTGAGGTTGGGCGTTTAATCGTAAGCCATCGCCACTATCCAAACTCCTGCGCCCATCACTCTCGGTTCCCTTTGGCGAGCTTCCAGTCGTAGCGCCAGCAGTCAGAGGCGAGGTCCCGGTTCCCGTCCCAGCAGCCACCGCGATCCCTGTCCTTGGTGATGTTCCCAAACCCAATCCTGGGGTCGTTCGTGGCGACCCGCTTCCCAATGGAGACCCTCCTATTCCCAGAGTTCGTGGAGAAGACGCCAAAGTCGCGCCTTTGAAAGGATTGATGGTTCCCGACGTTCGCCGTGGTGATGGAGGCGCCGGAGCCAGGTTCGATGTGATTGAGCCGCTCACGTTCCCTCGAGTCAAGAGACTCTCCCGACGAGTGCGCGTAAGTCCGGACGCGGCTCCAGAAAAGTCTGCCCCTGGAGGTGGGCTGCGGGGAGAATCTCCTCCTGCGGAGATCTGCGAAATTGTGCGGGTGCGAACAGGAAGCTGTGCAAGCGGCGTGCCAGGAGAAGTGCCCGTCTTGGAGCCGGGTCGTAAAGGCGATCCCGACCCCGTTAATGACGCTCGTTGACGCGTGGCGAGAAGGGTTGGCGTAAAGGCAGGTGAGTCGAGGTCAAACTTGGGAGCCGGGGGCGAAGGCGAAGCCGGAGATGTTGATCCTCGTCCTGCTACCGCTCCTGCTCCTCCGGGCGATACTGGGGTCGCAAGCGCCGAGCTCCACAAGCTCTCCAAGGGGACCATCCTGAATCGTACATTTGGCCTGTATTGAGCACGCAACGAGATTGCGCCTAGTGGTGTCACAATCGTCGGGAATGAAAACGTGCTCGAGTCGGCTTCGCTCGGTATTAGCTTGTGTGCTAAGGAAGAAATGAGTTTGCAATCAAATATAACCAAGTCCGGTACTCACATAGCCCAAGGACGTCTTCGTGTAACCTATCATCCTCCCTGCCTACAACAGCGGCTACAACGATTACCTTCATCCCTGAACCCGGAACAAGCCTTCGATGCAGCTGCCACGCAGGAACATACCTCAGCAGTGCGTATAGACTTCGCATGAGAGCAATAGCTTGCTTGTACACCCCCGGGTACGGATCCTCTCCGGCCTGTACTTGATTGAGTCTTGTTGAACGGTCGAGAGATAGAGACCATTCCTCTAATTGAATCGCGCTCGCTTCCGATGGAATTTCAACCCTCATCTTTCTCTCCGAGTCGGACACAAGAACCAGTGCTTGGGCAGGCGATGGCGGGCCCAGTACCAACACACTTCTCACGCGCATTTCAAGAGTACCGCCCATAACACTTCCCAGCTCCCTCAGTTCTTGCGTAAGCTCTCCGAATCGCCCATCGTCCATTACTTCCAGTTGAAACTATACCAACCGGTCAGCCACAACAACCAAAGGGTTACTACTTGATAAGCCTCCGTGCACTTACCCATTTATCTGCCTTTCCCCCGGTCCCAGGTCTAGCGCTCTGGTTCTCCCGCGCATCACTGATAAGGAGCGCCACTTTAAAGAAGAGCCGGGAGATGATTTGTTCCCCCTTGGAGCTCATAGTGGTGAGACGCCCCAGGTGGAAAATCACGTGAGTTCGTGGAAGCGCTTGGGGCAGGGACCCGGCGGCTGTGTCGGTGGCTAGTTGACTAGGTGGCTATGAATGTCAAACATACGGCAAGTGTCCCACCGAAGCCCTAGACCACAGCCACCGGCAATTTAACGAAAACTCCAGAATTTCAACAAGAGCATTACTCACAATCAACGCTACCATTTCATTGACTGAAACCAGTGGAGGGTTGCAGCACCCGACTGCGGGGTATATTTAAATGTGGCTAATGCTAGTTCTACCTCTCCCAGTCTTCCACGCATCCCCCGTTCCGTAAGCATGCGTGTCACGTCCTTGTCTGCGTGGTCGGAAGGCTGTATCTCGTCTCCTATCGAGGTTGGAACGATGTTGGTGAGATGTGTTGGCCGATCGTAGGCCAAAATCGGGTAGATTTCGGGTAAATTCGTTTGAATATGACCACCTTAAATCCGGTCCGCCAACCAATTCATAAGGAAATATCAATATTGTGATCTAGGAAAATTGAGATTGAAATTCTATGGAACGCGTTCTAGCGACACGTAGCTGCGCGGATGCCAGCTATCCAGGGACGTGAATTAAATACCGTATCAAGGTTTAATTTCCAGACTCTTTAAGCTACACTCGATACTATAAATCCAAAGCATCGCAGCAGGTTGCATTCTTTCTCAGTGTAGCCGACTGTGAGACTCGATATCCGCACCGAACCCACCACCTCAGCCTAGGTCTTGGCCCCATGAGAATGTTTTACCCAGGAACATATCGACCCCTATGAATTAGACTCAAGAAAGGTATCAGCCCGTGCGTTCCGTCCCCACCGCGGCGAACTGAATCATTTTCCGAGATTTTATTTGGAAGGAACTAGGGGAAAGGTTATTCCATCCATCGTCCAATTCCCATTGGCTTATCGCTCGAGCAGGACATATACATGTGGCCCAGTTTTGATGATCGTGCTCGAGCAAAATTGGAATTCTGGACCCCGGGTGCTTGATCTGATTCAAGACCCCATACTTCCTGATATGGAAATATTTCGGGACCTGTACAGTACCAGTTGTTGGTATGAAAAACGTGATTCTCATGCCCGTCATGGACAAACGACTTCTCTCAGTTTGGTCAAACCAAAAGTGTACCCAACAGTGTACCCAGGAACACGCACAAAAGCAAGAAAGCAAGCGTGACATTCCGAGAGTCACCCCTTCTTTGTTTCCCCTCCAAAGTGGGCGCGCCACCTAA